CGCAAGGTAGTTGGAATTTTCAGTTGCATAACATACCTCATAGGGGAGAGGAGAATGGGTAACAATGGTTACCACTCTCCAGGTGAGGGCTACAGATAACTCAAACATACAAATGCTCTTCAGGTAGCAGAGATCAGTCCCTCTGGAGAAAACAGTGGACTCTGTCATTAAACCCTGCTGAGGTCACCACAGGAAACTGACACTGTTTGCCCAAAGCCAGAGCACTCTCCCAGAGCCTCTTTCTAGATCCCGTTGTATTTATTTCCGCAACGGGCATTATTTCTAGTCCCAATATAAATAAAAAATAAAAATAAATAAAATAAAATCACCGGAAGTGTGCACCAGCCCCTCTGTCAGGCAGAAGTGCCTGAGATCCTCCCCCTCCCCTTTTCCTTCGCCCGACTTGGAGGTGAAGGGAAAGGAGAGGGGGGAAAGAATGGGTCCCAGGTGCTTCTGCCTGTCGGAGGGGCTGGGGCACACTTCCGGTGATGTCAGGGGGTGTGGCATATGCTAATAAGTTATGCTAATGAAATGACCCCTGTCTACCAGTGCATCCCAACCTGTGGGTCAGGACCCCAAAGTGGGTCGCAGGCCATCCCTCCCCAAGGGCCACTCCTGTCTTTTGAATTGGCGTCTTTCTCTCCTCTTCCTCACTTCCTCATCTTCCCCCTTCCTTTGTGACAATCATGGGGGGGGGGTGAACCATCCATCGAGCAACTAGCAACTTCATGACCCTACCCAGAAGAGGGAGAGAAGGTGGCATGATAGACCTGAGCGTTGCCAACCTTCAGGTGGTGGCTGGAGATGTCACGTGACTATAACTGACCTCCAAGGTGACAGAGATCAGTTTCCATGGAGAAAAGGGACACATTGGAAGGTGGACTCTATGGCATTAGACCCAATTGGTCCCTCCCCAAACCCCGCCCTCCTCAGGCCCCACCCCCCAAATCTCCAGGTATTTCCCAGCCTGGAACTGGCGACCCTAGTACAGACCCATCCCTTTGGGCGGGGGAGGAAGAGGAGGAAGAAGAAGAGGAGGAGGAGGAGGAAGAGGAGGAGGAGGAGGAAGAAGAGGAGGAGGAGGAGTAAGAAGAAGAAGAAGAGGAGGAGGAGAAGGCAGAAGAGGAAGAGGAGGAGGAAGAGGAGGAAGAAGAAGAAGAGGAGGAGGAGGAGGAGATTGGATTTATACCCCACCCTTCACTACCCAAGGGAGTCTCAGAGCGGCTCACAAACTCCTTTCCCTCCCCCTCCCCACAACAGACACCCAGTGAGGTAGGTGGGGCTGAGAGAGCTCTGACAGAAACTGCTCTTTTTCAAGGACGGCTCTTGGCTCGCCAAAGGTCATCCAGCCAGGTGCAAGCGGAGGAGTGGGGAATTAAACCCGGCTCTCCCAGATTAGAGTCCGCGCACTTAACCACTACACCAAACTGGAGAGATTGGATTTATACCCAGCCCTTCACTACCCAAAGGTGTCTCAGAGCCGCTTACAAACACCTTTCTTTTCCCTCCCCCTCCCCACAACAGACACCGTGTAGAGGGTAGGTGGGGCCAAGAGAGCTCTGACAGAAATTGTTCTTTGTTCAAGAACAGCTCTGACAGAACTATGGCTTGCCCAAGGTCATCCAGCAGCTGCAAGTGGAGGAGTGGGGAATCAAACCCGGTTCTCCCAGATTAGAGTCCGCGCCCTTAACCACTACTAAGCAGGGTCAGTACTTGGAAGACAGACGACCAAGGAAGACTCTGCAGAAGAAGGCAATGGCCAGCCACCTCTGCTTCTCACTTGCTTTGTAAACCCCTGGCTGGGGTCACCATCAGTCAGTTGCAAATCGATGGCACCTTGGCTGTGTGTGAAGTGCCATCAGATGGCAGCCTGTAGGGGCCATTTTCTACAGGTGATCTCTGTTGCCTGGAGACCAGTTGCAATACCAGGAGACCTGCAGTCACCACCTGGAGGCGGGCGATCTTACTCCGAGGAGACCTGAGAGTCCTGCTTAATATTTGCTGCTGCCAAATTAACCTGGCTACTCCCCTGAAACTGACGCAAAGGAGACTCAGGAGCACAAAAGGGCATTAGTATTCCACACAAACCTATCGGGTTAACAAGCTCCGGGGAGTGTAATTACTTGGCATATCCTTCCTGAGCCCTAGAGATAAGGCAAGATCATGGCAGCCGTGCTGATTTACAGAACAGAGGACAGAGGGAGACCGCTGCCAAGTCTCACAGCGGCTTACATTCTCCTTTCCCTTCCTTTCCCCACAACAGACACCCTGTGAGGTAGGTGCGGCTGAGAGAGCTCTCCCGAGGCCTGCCCTTGAGAGAACAGCTCTGGAAGAACTTGCGACTGGCCCAAGGGCACCCAGCTGGCTTCATGTGAAGGAGTGGGGAATCAAACCCGGTTCTCCCAGGTTAGAGTCCGCGCTCCCAACCATGACACCAAACTGGCTGAGGACCCCTGAACTAGCCTGCTGTGATATTTTGTGATCCCCTACCATGTGCGCTGAGCGAGTACACTCACTCACGCAGTTACCATCTGGGTGCTTTCTGCCTGGGGGCAGGCTTGTGTGGTTTGGTGTAGTGGTTAAGTGTGCGGACTCTGATCTGGGAGAACCGGGTTTGATTTCCCACTCCTCCACTTGCACCTGCTGGATGACCTTGGGCAAGCAGTAGTTCTGGCACAGCTGTTCTTGAGCTGTTCTCAATAAACAAATCACTGCCAAAGGTGGGAGAGGTGGGGAGTCAAGATGCGAAGGGACAAGACAACATGTACTAGCCAGAGCCAGTTTGGTGTCGTGGTTATGTGTGCGGACTCTAATCTGGGAGAACCGGGTTTGATTCCCCACTCCTCCTCCACTTGCAGCTGCTGGATGACCTTGGGCAAGCTGTAGTTCTGTCAGAGCTGTTCTCTCAAGAGCAGTTTCTGTCAGAGCTCTGTCAGCCCCACCGACCTCACAGGGTGTCTGTCGTGGGGAGGGGAAAGGAAAGGAGTTTGTAAACCGCTCTGAGACTCCCTTGGGTAGTGAAGGGCGGGGTGTGAATCCAATCTCTTCTTCTTCTTCTTCTTCCCTGTTGTGACTATAGCTGCCAGCACAGCACAGCGGCAACTGTGCTACTACAAGGCAGATTGCCTTGCAGTTTCTTTTTGCCCCAGACCCCCAGCACTGGCCCTCCTCCCATTTTCTCCAGTTTTTTAAAATCTGCATTTGAATATCGTTATAACCTTATCCCGATCTAACAGGTTCTCTGAATTCCCAACTTTATTTAAAAAGAAAAGAACTCCCTCCCCTTGTGTTGCAGAGACATGCCTTTCCCCTTATACCTCTGCAATGAAAAGAAGACGAGTTATACCGCACCCTTCACACAAAGGAGTCTCAGAGCGGCTCACAATCCCTTTCCCCTCCACACATCCTGTGAGGTAGGTGGGGCCGAGAGAGCTCTCTTGAGAACTGCCCTTGAGAGAACAGCTCTGAAAGAACTTGTGACTGACCCAAGGTCACCCAGCTGGCTGCATGTGGAGGAGTGGGGGATCAAACCCGGTTCTCCCAGATTAGAGTCCGCCACTCTTAACCCCTACACCAAACTGACTAATTTAAAAGAATTAAAACTGGGGATTCAGAGACAAAAAGCCCTCCAGTGTGTGCGTGGGGGGGGAACGGCTGCCGTAGGAATGGGGCAGGTTGGCTTTGTGTACTCAGAGATTATTTGCCCCGGGTGGGGGGGTTGGATGCTCTTGGGAAGTGAGTTTTTTTCTCCCCTGCTTCCCCACAGTCTTGTCAGGCATTGGGCCCCCTCCTGGGCCTGTCCCAGATGTCCCTCAAACCCGCTTTGCTGTGAAGTTTAGGGGATGGCCACAGAAAAACCTGGACGGCTGCCAGGGAAAGTTCGGACGTTTCCAGTCTGGCAAACACAGCAGCCGCTTTTCCCTCC